TCTTGCTCTGTCGCCCAGGCTGGAGTGCAATGGCAGAATCTTGGCTCCCTGCAACCTCTGCCTCCCAGGTTCAAGCGATTCTCCTGTCTCAGCCTCCTGAGTAGCCAGGACTACAGGCACGCACCACCATGCCCGGCTGATTTTTTATATTGTTAGTAGACATGGGGTTTCACCATATTCCTCAGGCTGGTCTCGAACTCTTGAGCTCAGGCAACCCACCTGCCTTGGCCTCCCAAAGTGCTAGGATTACAGGCATGAGCCACCACACCCAGTGCAATTTTTATTTTTTATTAACCTAGAAAAAAAAAATACATGTGGGAAGGAAAAATTAAAATAAATGATAGTGTGGGATTAAACATTTTCAGCCCAGGCACAATGGCTCACGCCTGTAATCCCAGCACTCTGGGAAGCCGAGGAGGGCAGATCATCTGAGGTCAGGAGTTCGAAACCAGCCTGGCTAACGTGGTCAAACTAAAAATACTAAAAATACAAAAAAATTAGCTGGGTGAGGTGGCAGGCACCTCTAATCCCATCTACTCAGGCGGCTGAAGCAGGAGAAACGCTTGAAACTGGGAGGCGGAGGTTGCAGTGAGTTGAGATCACGCTACTGCACTCTAGCCTGGGCAACAAGAGCAAAACTCTCTCTCAAAAAATAATAATAAAAATTAATTTTTCAAATTTTACTGATTTCTTTACCTAGCATTTTTTCATATTTACATTGCAAGAAATGTTAAGTAAAAAACTATACAGCCAGGTACAGTGGCTCATGCCTGTAATTCCAGCACTTTGGAAGACCAAGGAGGACAGATCACTTGAGGCCAGGAGTTCAAGACCAGCCTGCCCAAAATGGCTAAACCCTGTCTCTACAAAAAAAAATTAACCAGAGGTGTTGGCACATGCCTGTAATTCCAGCTACTTGGGAGGCTGAAACAGGAAAATGGCTTGAACCCAGGAGGTGGAGGTTGCAGTGAGCCGAGGTTTATGCCACTGCACTCCATCCTGGGTAACAGAGTGAGACCCCGTCTCACAAAAACAAGCAAACAAACAAACAAACAAAACCACACACACACAAATATATGCTGCACATACATGGTATACATAAATATATACATTTTTTTAAGTCTTCAAAATATTGCAAGGATATATACCACAATATAATAGTAGTTAGCTCTCGTCTGTGAAATTATAGGTAATGTTTTGTCTTTTTTATACTTTGTACATAATGAATGTGCACTACTTATTAAAATCTTTAAATAAAAGATTTTTTCATTTGGCTGGGCACAGGATCTCATGCCTGTAATCCCAGCTCTTTGAGAAGCCGAGGCAGGTGGATCACCTTGAGGTAAGGAGCTACGGAAAAGCTTGGCCAACATGGTGAGACCCTGTCTCTACTAAAAATACAAAAATTAGCCGGGTGTGGTGGTGAGCTCTTATAATAGGAGGCTGAGGTAGAAGAATCACTTGAATCTGAAAAGCAGAGGCTGCAGTGAGCCAAGATGGCTGCCTTCCAAACCCTTCTAAACTCCAGCCCAGGCAACAGAGTGAGAATCCATCTGTAAAAATATATTTCTTTTTCTTTTAAAAAGAAAAAATTCAAATGCTATTTTTTTTTAAAAGAGGGTCTTGCTCTATCACCCAGGCTGGAGTACAGTGCTGCCAACACAGCTCACTGCAACCTTGAACTCCTGGGCTCAATTGATTCTCCAACCTCAGCCTCCCAAGTAGCTAGAACTGCAAGTGGGCGCCAGCATGCCCAGTTGTAATGTTCCTTATTTTGAAATGTCTGATCCTTCCACATCATCATATCTACCAGAAGTGATCCCTTTGATTACTTTCACAACTTATCACAGTGTATTTATTTATAGAGGTGCCTTCCCTACCTTCCTTTCTAGACTGAGCTATTTGAAAGGAATGGTCTTTTATTTTTTAAGATGGAGTTTCACTCTTGTCTCCCAGGCTGAAGTGCAAGGGCATGATCTTGGCTCACTGCAACCTCCACCTCCCGGGTTCAAGCAATTCTCCTGCCTCAGCCCCACGAGTAACTGGGATTACAGGCATGTACACCACTATGCCTGGCTAATTTTTGTATTTTTAGTAGAGAGGGGTTTCACCATGTTGGCGAGGCTGATCTTGAACTCCTGACCTTGAGTGATCTGCCCCGGCCTCCCAAAGTGCTGGGATTACAGGCATAAGCCACCACATCCAGCCAGCAATGACCTTTTTAAAAGCATCACCCCAAAAGACCATGATAGTGCCTTCCATATTACATCAATAAATATTTGATGAATGAACATTAAAGTCTCATTAAAATAGCCTTCCTTGGCTTTAGGGACACAAAGTTCCTTTCCCTCACTTAATCTTTGTAAGAGAAGTCACAAATGAAGAACAATGATGTAGGCTTTGGGAGCACAGTGAATTTTTTTTTTTTTTTTTGAGATGGAGTCTTCCTCTGTCGCCCAGGCTGGAGTGCAATGGTGCAATCTCGGCTTACTGCAACTTCCACCTCCCAAGTTCAAGCAATTCTCCTGCCTCAGCCTCCCGAATAGCTGGGATCACAGGTGCCCGCCACCATGCCCAGCTAATTTTTGTATTTTTTAGTAGACAAAGTTTGGTCAGGCTGGCCTGGAAATCCCGACCTCAGGTGATCCACATGCCTTACCCTCCCAAAGTGCTGGGATTACGGGTGTGAGCCACTGCACCTGGCCTACAATGAATTTCAGAAAAACTTCATCTCACCAGAGTTGCTAGCCCAAAACTACCTGCCTTACTCTTGAAAAATAACTTCACATTCGAGAGGAAAACTACATGTCATCAGTAACAAACTTCATCAACTTATCTTCTTTCCACCTTTTAGTCTACTGATAATGGTTCTCTCCCCTCCTATTCCAGAAAGAGCCTACTACTTCTACAAGCATAACCTTCAGATAGGCACTGGAAAGCATCTCCTTCCTCTAAAAGTCCAATTTCAATTATCACCTTTCTTCAACCTCAGCTTCTCTCCCCTCTGGTTCCATCTCTTCATGCTACCAACAAGCAAAATTCTAAAAAACTCTCTCCTTCTCCCATAAGATATTACTCCAACTTCTGCCTTCATGGCTTACTTCTTAAAAGAGTAATTTTGATACTCATTGTCTGTTTCCTCATTTCTCATTCCCTGCCTTCCAAACCCTTACAGTTTAGTAATTTAGCAGTATCTCTTCGTCATACACACATAAAACTATGTTTGTTATAATAATTTATTTCACGCTGGGCACGGTTGCTCATGCCTGTAATCCTAGCACTTTGGGAGGCTGATTCGAGTGGATCATTTGAGGCTGGGAGTTTGAGACCAGCCTGGGCAACATGGCAAAACCCCATCTCTACCAAAAATATGTATCGAAAAATCAGCCCGGTTTGGTGGCTTGCACCTGTAGTCACAGCAATTCCAGACGCTAAGGTGGATCACCTGAGCCCAGGGGGTCAAGGCTGCAGTGAGCCGTGACTGCGCCACTGCATTCCAGCCTAGGCAACAGAGAGAGACTTTAAAAAAAAAAAAAAATCAATTATTTCTTAGTTACCAAAAAAATGGGAAATTTGGGTTTCCATACTATTGGAGCTCTCTAATTTCTAATACTGCCAACCATCAGCTACTTGATGAACTTTCCTTAGTTCCCACTTGTCCCATTTCTCCTCCTACTAACTCTTACTCAATCTCTCTTCTATGGCTGTCTCTCCTCCTCTGATCATTACAAAAACGTCAGTGCTGATCAGGTCTAACCTCAGTTCTTTCATAATCTTACAGTATTTTCTCTGGACAATCTTACTCCTGTTGCTCAAATACCACATGGATGAAGATTATTAAATAAGCAAGGTATTCACTACTGACTATTCAACTGCCCACTGTGTAACTCTACCTGGCTAATTCAAGTGTATCAAGTTCAACATGTTTAAGAGTATTTATTTTGTCTTCCCTCCAGACCTGTTTGACATTCTTGTATCTCGTATTTTGGCTTATAAAAATCAGTATCTAACTTATCTCCCAGTTATGAACCTTGACATTACTCTAGACAATTCCTCCAATCTCTCTCTCTCGCCAAATAAAATCATGAAAAAAATCATGAAAAACTGTCAACTCAGCTGAATGCAGTGGCTCACACCTGTAACTCCAGCAGTTTGAGAGGCCAAGGCAGACAGATCACAAGGTCAAGAGATCGAGTCCATCTCGGCCAACATCATGAAACTCCATCTCTACTAAAAATATAAAACTCAGCTGGGCGTGGTGGTGCATGCCTGTAATCCCAGCTATTCGGGAGGCTGAGGCAGGATAATCGCTTCAACCATGGTGTCGGAGGTTGCAGTAAACTGAGATTGTACCACTGCACTCCAGCCTAGCAACAGAGTAAGACTACATCTCAAAAAAAAAAAAAAAAAAAAAATTGTTGAGTCTACTACTAAAAAATCTGTAAATCCAGCCTTGAATTCAAGTTCTCATCTGGTTTGTTTTATTGTCACAGCCTCCCAAAAGGTAGCTGTAATTCTTATAAGAATTACTTTTCTGAAAGGAATTCTGATGTTGAGTCCTCCAATTAAAGACCTCTTCCTATCCAAAGGAAAAAGTATGATCTATTTAACTTAGCATATAAAGTCCTTCACAATTTGGCTCTCTGTTTACCTCCCATCCCTCTGGTCACACCATGCATAACATCATGTAGCCCCACTAGGTTTGCCATCTCATGGCTACAAGCTTCTGCATGTGCTGCTTCCTCTGCCTAAAAATGTCCTTCCCTCCTATAGTCTACTTGGTAAAGTCCTTCCCACCTATTTTCAGCAGCACTTCCCCCAATTTATTTGGGCAAAATATGTTCTCATATTTGTTTTCAACTTTTTGTATTCTCACAGAACCTTGCTTGCTCATGCCTCCATTATAGTCTGCATCACACTGTTAAACTGTCTTAATTCACTGTGGGTATTACTGTACCTAGAAATAGCATCCAACCCATATGCTTTAAATAAATTTCTGCTGAATGAATAACCAAAACTCAAAGATTTGACCCAAAGTGAATCACAGGACTAGAAGTTATAACATATATTCCTGAAGACCCTGACCTGATTTTCATCATCAGAAAATGACAGAAGTATCCCAAAATCCCAGGACTCTTAAGGCCCAAGATCACCAAATCATTATTCTTCAAAGACAGTGTAAGGTGCTTCTAAGAAAGAAGCAGATCTTACCTCGGGGGAAAATCCCTGGGTCCATGAAGGTGGCCATGCTGAAGTTGGCCAACACAAAGAGAAACATAATTGCATTGTAGATGGGCACTGCAGGTGACACATACAGGCTTAGTCCTGGACACCTGCATAGACAATAAACAAAATGAGGTGTTGCTTCTAACATTTTGGACATAAACCATACATACAAAAATCTATAAAGATTTAGCCCCCCCTGCCTACAGATAAATCTTGTGTGGTTTACCTTTGCATCCTTAATAATTATCTTTATCTTTCCCACCAATTCAGTCTAGTTAAGTACAAGACTCAGAATCTCTCCTATTTTAACCCCTTGCACTAAGGTCTGTGTTCTTCCGATTCAGTCTTACCCTGTGGATGTTGCCACATGTTTTGAGATCTGTCATTATCCCCTTTCTAACCAGACATGAGAACTAGATACTGACTGTGTAACTGATACCAGCTACATTCCCTTCTCTGGAGCAGCCTAAGGTTTCTGGATCCCAGCCATGTCCCACTGACCTGCACATTGGCCCAAAACATGGGATACCATCTACCTCTCTAGCCCCATCTCCCCTTTGCCAGCTGACTTTGAACCACTCAAGTGCCTAAAGTTTCCTCATTGCATTGGATACACCTGAGAGTTTATTCAACTAGAGGCCAGTTCTCAAGTTGGAAATTCTTTAAAAACACACAGATGAGAATGGATATCAAGACACAGAACTAAACCCTTTGATGTCTAAAAAAGAAGCAGGAATTGGGGAGGAAATAGAGTATCAGATAAAAGTCCTCGATTTTGTAGGAAAAAGAAGTTAGCCAAACATACCCAGTATTGCACAGCATTCAACTCAAGAAACACGCTTTGTTAACATTTCTTGACCAAAAAGCAATTCTCTAGTCCAGGATTAAACTCAGTTTCTTTCAGGATACGAATCTATGTAGGAATGCTTCAAGAGCTCTTCCTTTCTCTGCTGATTTCCTGGGAGCTGGAAGTTTTGGAAGAACACGATGTGCTGCCTGCTTTGTCAGTAGTATCAAACACACTCTTCTCATCTCAGCTCTGGGAAAACTTCCCACTACCAAGACAGTGGCTAAATACTCTAATCTACTTTGTGGCTGATAACTTAATCTCCAGAATGAGGACAGCATCTGTCCTTGTCCCCTTTATCTGGACCAGTCAAAGGAAAGGAAGAGCTCACTGGAGGAAAGGAAGAGGACAGGAGAACAAGACAGCATATGATTCTGAAAAATTAATCCACAGCAGTCCTGGAGTCTGTGAAGAAAAGATACCTGCACCCACCAAAACAAAAAGCACAGCCCTGAGAATAACTCAGAGCAGTTTGGAGAAACTCAGCTCCTTAACTACATATAAGTAAACCAAAGATAAGAGACAAAACTGTCACAAAGCATCTCATAATTTTTTTGAGACAGAGTTTCACTCTTGATGCCCAGGCTAGAGTCAAATGGCACGATCTCCACTCACTGAAACCTCCACCTCATGTGATTCTCCTGCCTCAGCCTCCCAAGTAGTGGGGATTATAGGCATATGCCACAGTGCCCAACTAATTTTTGATAGAGACACGGTTTCTCTTTTTTGGTATATTTGGTATTTTGGGGTTTCTCTTATTTGGTAGAGATGGGGTTTCAATTTTTGGTACTTTTGGTAGAGACAGGGTTTCACCATGTTGGCCAGGCTGGTCTTGAACTCCTGACCTCAGGTGATCCACTGGCCTCGGCCTCCCAACGTGCTAGGATTACAGGCATGAGCCACCCTGCTGGGTCAGTATCTCACAAATCTTTACCATTACCATCTATTTATTCAAATTCCATTCAGCCATTCATTTAAAAAAGCTTTTAATATTATATGCCAAACTTTATAGATAGTAAATATCAATTAGCTGTTTGCTTCTCTTGATAGGTCAGTAAATAACTGGAAGACAAAATAATGACGTTGGAGTGAGGGCATCAATTTTAGGAACAAAACAGACCCTTAGTTACAGTTCTGTACTATCCTCAAAGAAAGCCCCCATGGAAACTTCTTCCTCTGAGTTCTTTGGTTCAGAAAAGATGTCCCCATACCTTGGCAGAGTTTGGAGAGGAATATAAGCAAAAAGGAGAGTTCCTGCACCGCCTCACCCCAAAACCTGACCTCCTATGTTCCTTAAGAGGGAGGGAGAGAAACTGAAAACCAGTCATCCAGGTCAGAGCCCCTCCCTAGTGCTAAGTTGTCACTTCAATTTCCGCCTGGGGAAGAAGAGAAAGGGTGACTCACTTGACTCCTACAGCCTGGGAAGAAAATTAGAAGGGAAAAAGAAATTAAATCTTCAGAACACTGAGGTGTCCATGATTTAAAAGTCTCATTCCTACAATTGGCCACTGTGGCCTCTTGAGCTTCTGAACGAAATATTCACCCTAGTTTCCATCCCTGAGGGAAACATTATAATGAGAATAAGAACAAGATATAAAACCTCTTGCAGGCCCATGTCAATCTTTCTGACTCCACTCTTTCTTCAGTTTTGTTTTTTGAGACAGGGTCTTGCTCTCTTGCCCAGGCTGGAGTGCAGTGGTGAGACCACAGCTCACTGCAACCTCAAACTCCTGAGCTCAAGTGATCCTCCCACCCCACCCTCCTGAGTAGCTGGGACTACAAACGCACACCACCATGCCCTACTAATTTTTTGTAGAGATGGGGCTTCACCATGTTGCCTGGGCTGGTCTCAACTCCTGAGCTCAAAATGATTTGCCCACCTCGGCCTCCCAAAATGCTGACATTACAGGCATGAGCTGCCATGCCCAGTCAGTTTCATTTTCAAGCAACACAACTCAACTCAGTTTCTTGAGGATCCTGGCAACCTACCCCTGGATAATGAACTTTACCCCTATAACCTTCTGGACATCAACCTGTTCCAGATAAGGTGGGTAATCCTGGAATGGAATTCCAGTATCTGTTGCCAAAATGAAGTCTGCCCCCACAGTGCCACAATCTAGAAATTATGCAAATCACTCAACTTCATGGGCAATATTTGCTCCTACATTCAGAGAACCACTGCTTCCAATCTTAGCACTGTAAGGGAACACCCCACAAAGGAGAGGCATGTGTGAACAGAGCCCGTTCTTGACATATCCCAAATTCTGCTTGATTTAAGGAGAGGCTTTCCGTTGCTATGGTACTTTGCCAGATTCCTAGGTGACCACCCCAAGTGGCCTGTCTGAATCTGTTGCCTTTGATGGCAGATGAGACCAGAGCTTAGAATAGGAGTTGTCAGGGCTCGTCCTCAGACTATGGCAATAATCATAAAGCTCCAGAAGCTTACGGAGTGGCCACAGCCCAGAAGGCTGGCTGACTCATTGACAGGACTACCAGACCTCACCCATCCCAGGTAGAACAGGTTCTTCTACCTACCCAATCAGCACTCCTGTTTTCAAGACCAAACAAAATTGGGAGAATGGGGCCAGGCGCAGTGGCTCACGCCTATAACCCTAGCACTTTAGGAGGCCAAGATGGGTGTATTGCCCGAGGTCACGAGTTCAAGACCAGCCTGGCCAACATGGCAAAACCCCATCGCTACTAAAAATACAAAAATTAGCAGAGCGAGGTGGTGGGAGCCTGTAATTCCAGCTACTTGGGAGGGTGAGGTAGGAGAATCACTTGAACCCCGGGGGTGGAGGTTGAAGTGAGCTGAGATTGCGCCACCTCACTCTAGCCTGGGTGTAAAAGTGAAACTTTGTCTCGGAAAAAAAAAATGAAATAAGATAAAAAAAAATAAAAAAAACAAATAAAACTGGGAAAATGGGTTCCAATATCAACACTCCTGAAACCTTGTTTCCTAGCACTCCCTAACACTTCCTATTAAAAAAAATGGTTAAGTTCTCAGAAAGACGCACAAAGTATGGGTAAAGGATCCTTGGATTAGGCTGGGCATGGTGGCTCACACCTATAATCCCAGCACTTCGGGAGGCTGAGGAAGGCGGATCACGAGGTCAGGATGTCGAGACCATACTGGCTAACATCATGAAACCCCATCTCTACTAAAAATACAAAAAATTAGCTGGGTGTAGTGGCACACACCTGTAGTCTCAGCTACTGGGGAGGCTGAAGCAGGAGAATCGCTTGAACCCAGGAGGTGGGAGTTGCATTGAGCCAAGATTACACCACTGCACTCCAGCCTGGGCAACAGAGCAAGACTCCATCTCAAAAAAAAAGAATCTTGGCCGGGCACGGTGGCTCAAGCCTGTAATCCCAGCACTGTGGGAGGCCGAGGCGGGTGGATCATGAGGTCAAGAGATCGAGACCATCCTGGTCAACATGGTGAAACCCCGTCTCTACTAAAAATACATAAAATTAGCTGGGCATGGTGGCGCGTGCCTGTAATCCCAG